TTGTAGATAAAAGAAACTCTTGTCAGTAAGAATATGTAATGTCACTACAGCAGTTGGTAGGTTGCTAATTCTTAACGCTCGGCTAGAGTTACTGAAGACCCCAGGCAGACTTTAACAGAGGATGACATTTTCAGATCACTCTCCTGAATTAAAAAAAGAGGGAATAGAAAAACATGCCCGAGACAATGTTTAACACAGCTCGCTCCCTATATAACGAAATAAATAATGCAATCGCAAAATAGATGTTTAAGATTCATCACAGGACATGAAAGCTTCCCATGAAAGAGACCAGCTCCCTGCCTTGAAATGCTGTGTATTTAGGATTAAGCTTCGATTGAGGCCAGGAAAAAAAACAAATGCCTTAAAACAGAGATTCCCAACCACAGGTACACACAGGTGTGTAGGTGTGTGTGTGTCAAAGTAAGAAAACATGATCTGGAGACACTTCAGTCTAGGAGGGAATACCACGGAGGTGATTTTGAGTACTCTGGCAGGTGTTTATATGTCTGTCTGTCTGTCTGTAGACACATTTTGTCAACACAATGTCATCACAGCTGTGGAAGATACAGTCACGAAACTTCCCAGGTGTAGTTAAGAACAAAATGAAGGCTGCGTTTGAAGATGTGTGTGGTCTGACCTATGAGTACTCATATAATAATGTTGTAATAGTTAAAAGTATTGATTGATATACAGTATATATATATATATATATATATATATATATATATATGTGGTGGAAAATCTTAGCCAAGAGTAATTAACAGTTGAAATAGTTACTTAAAAATAATGTTAACTGGTTAACTAAAAGTAATGAGTGAACAGTTTAAATAGTTAGCTAAAAGTAATGGATATCGTTGAATAACTAAAGTACTTAAAACATAGCTGAGAATGGCTTAAACCTTCAGCTGCTGCCATTCCAAGTGTTGATCAAACCAGTCCACTGACAATCAGAAAAATATAGTAATCATATCCACTGTTACATACAGACAGGTGATAAATTAGTGGAGAAACAGGATGACAATGACCCCATCCATAAGGCGTGAGAATGGTTTGATGAGTATGAAAATGATGTGAATCATATGCTGTGGCTTTCGGAGTCAGCAGATCTCAACCCAGTTGAACACCTATGGAATATTTTTGGACTGATGTGTTAGACAGCGCTCTCCACCACCACCACCATCATCATCACAACAACTAATGAGGGACTATCTTTTGGAGGAATGGTCTCTTTAGCTCATTGAGTTAAATGACATCCAGGTTGAAATTAATTCATATGAACACATTTCGGAACATGTTGGTGTCAATGAAGAGGTCATTTGGTCCATGTGAAAGGAGTGTGTGGGTACATCAAAGGTTGGGAACCACTGCCTCAGCATTATCTGATGCAAGTGACAGTGGCACTGTCCACTTCATAATAAATATAGGACATTAAAAGGGGGATGATTCTGTGTGATTTATTAATCTATAGTCACAGCTGGAGGGAGAGTGTTGAAAATGCATAACATAAAACATGACCAGAAGGCATGTAGATGGAGATAGGCAGTGACAAAAGAACATCCTCGTAATCCTTTTAGTCTTTCACAATAATAGTTCACTGCTGTGTGTAGCCTTAAGAAACACGCTTTCTCTACGCCAAATCTGGTTACAAAGACTAACATAATATGCGAGCTGCTACAGTTATCAAGCTGCATTTTACTCTTTATTACCATTAATTAAACCCACATATGTGCCGAATTATTCCGCTTTTATTTTTCATTTTAGATTTTCAGATGTTTGCAGCAGTCCTCGAGATCAAAAGACACGCAATTCTATCATCACATCAAGCTGGGTTGCCTGAAGAAAACCCTGACGTGCTCTTATTCGGCTTCGGATTCTGAGGAAAATGATTTTTCAGTGTAGGTACAGGAAGATTACTATCCATGAAAATTACTTTCAGCTATTTTAAACTAATGCAGATTGGCAACACTGAAAGGTCCTTTAGAAAAATGGCAAAATAGAAGTCATTTTTGGAGGAGTTTCTCTGTGAGGCAGGATGTCACTTTATGCCTCCTTTGGGAGTGAAACATTGCCCAGCTCTTTTTTTTAAAAAACAAAATAAACCATTTAAAGCTTCCAGACACCTTCAGTTTCATCGTGGACTGAGCCATAAACACCGAGGCTTTATGAGCAATGATGAAAGAATACAAAACCAGGTTGGTAAGAAAGAGAGAGAGAGAGGAATGCTTTTGATGTTCAGAACCAAGCTGATTATACTTTTATGAGGGAGATTTCAGTTTTTGTATTTGATTGATTCTTTGAAATGGACACACAGTCAACATTTGGACACTGACAGCACACCTAATATGTTGAACTCAAATATAGACTGATAAACTGTTGTACTCATTTGTCACAGTCCAAATATTTTCAGTGAGGAGCTGTTAAGTGGCCAGTCAGTCATTTATCAACATGAGTGAGATCCACATGTTGGTTTTACAGGAAAGAAAAACGCATAACTGAATAAAATATAGGTCTGTGAAGCCAAATTTGCAAAGATATGACGCAACTATGGTTTTTACAACATGCGAAGTTGTTGATTGGGTTGAGTGGGGGTGCAGCTCTTCTGTTAATGACGATAGACTACTAGTTTGTTTGCATTTGGATTAAATATAGATGTCGTCCACGGCAGCAGACAGGTTTAGTTTCCTCCCTCCGACTATTTCCCAGAATTATCCCACGCCGTGTTGCATCATGGGGCCCTCAAAAAAAAAAAGGATTCTTGGGGCTTAAGGCGCACACCACGGGCTCTAACTGTTCAAATCCGACTCAACACCTCAGTTTGCCATCACACTTCAGCCTCCACCCTCACTAACTGATGATGCAGAAAAGCACCCCCCCCCCCCCAAAAAAAAAAAAAAAATGCTCATTTTTTTCTGCAAGAAGCGAGACTATGCGAGGAAACTTGAAGCGAAAGATCTGCCAGGCGTCTTTTTCTTTCCTCCACAAAACAAAGCGCACACAGGGGCGCACGCTCCAACAGCGTCTGGACATGTACTTTCCTCTGATCCGCAATTAGTGACTGGAGAAGCTGTGGTCTGTGCAGTCTTCTTCATTCAGTGTGTGACTTGTTCAGAATAAGGAACAGACTGAAGTGCATCATAAACATAAGGAGATGCTGTTTCCAATTACTGCCAAACACGTCCAGTCGCGCACCTATTTGTCCCTGACATCTCCGCCGGCCGAAGCCACACACACACACACACACACACACACAGTGTAGTTATCCTGAAGCTCATCAGGCAAAACACATCCATCACACGGATGTCGCCTGGTTAAAAAAAAAAAAAAAAAGAAAAAAAAATCCGGCAGCAAAACTGTGACCAGGACGATGCACAGTATCCTAAATGCAACACAACAGCCAGTCTCCATCTCAACATTCACACGAGTAAAGCCAAAGGCGATGGAAGAAGCCCGTCACATTGTCACACCATGTTCCTATGTTTGCCCTGGATGTGAGGTTAACCGGCTTCTACCAGAAACACATTTCCTGCAGTAAACACTTAAAAAAGAAGCAGCCTTGAACAGCAATCTTACCTTTCTGCCCCTGAGGCGAGGATTTGGCTCAGGTAGGACCGGGGCAGCTCTGTTGAATGTGTTGGCGAAGAGGCAGGAATAAGCTACTCCCGTGAATGCAGACGAGGCATGAGCTGGAGAAAAGTGAGGAGAGCAGCGGCAGCAGCAGTAGATGAAGATTTGAAACGGCGGAGCAGCGCAGCGCGGTACCGGCGGCGGAGTCTGTGTCTCTGACGCTGACATCAGACAGAGAGGGCTGCTTTCTTTAAGGTGGCTCCGCTCGTTCACATCAGCGCCACAACGCACGTCGAGGGTCGCTCATCGGCTGGATTTAACTGCCTCACCAGAGAATATCATCAGCCAGAGTTGGAAGAGGCGTATAATGAAAGACATAGTAAGAGAAAACTTCCGCGGCTCGGGTGCGTTAGGAGAGCTGCAGGAGGGCGGCTCTGAAGTCACTGCTCAGAGGGGAACCGTCCAAAAACCTGTCAGGATGAAAATTGGCTCAAGGCTGAGAGAGCACGTCTCCTCTGCAACTCTTTATCATTTTTGACAGCGGAGTGAAAACTTGAATAAAGCCTACAACACGTAAAAAATCAGGCTTGTGATGTCCTTTTTTTTTGAGCCAAAGCTCCGAGTGCTTACTGTTTTTATCAAGACATCCCGAAATAATATGTAACACTTTGACATGTAAAGGGTGATCTGAGGAAATGATGAAAATTACTGCTCTAAACCCACCTTCACAGTCTTTTAGGTTTGATTAGTGGAGGAACAGAGAGTTAACTCAGTAAAATGTTAAACATTTGTTGGTTTCATCCTTTCAAATGTTAAGATTTGTATTTCATATAATTTTAACCTGAATATCTTTGGGTGTGGGACTATTGATTGGAGAAGACATTTGCAGTTATAACCATGGCTGCTCAGAACTTGTGGAGGAGAACATTTTACACTATTTTTTTTACATTTTACAGCCTTAAAAATTAATCGAGTACTGGAAAAATACTTGATTACTTGAAGATAAAAATTAAGGAAAATGAAGATAATCAATAGTTGCAGACCTATGTTAGTGACTTTGCACTATTATTCCTTTATTCCAGGTACTTGTGGGGTGGGGTGGGTGGGGGTGGTCATTGAACATTGGGAGATAGATCTTGAAGTGGCATGAAGCGATGTCTTCTGTGTTTCCTTCAAATAACACTGAGATGAATAAATATGGACAACATACAAACAACAAAGCACAAAGAAATTACATATCTGATATGTTCTCAGTGTAATGGTGCGTCATGGAGAAAACTTATCACTGGATGAAAGCTTGCAGTGATTTCACCCAACCTTATCAAAAGTAACCGAGAAGCCAGGGGCCTATTAACCATCCAGATGGGTCCCTCAATTAAAGCAAAATGCTGTTTTCCAGATGGTGGAGCATCTGACAGCACTACACAAGAGCATCTATCCATATAACAGGTTCTCAAGCAACTGATGCCATTTGGCAAAAATTCAGGTCAACATTCGGACAAAACCAAGCTACTTTCCCTGAAAACGGGGACGTACTGCAGCATAATATTAATGAGAAACAACAGATTTTATTTGCTTCTAAAGTAAAAGTCTTACACTTATTTATTTTCAGCAATGTGCAAGAGTCAGGTTTTGCAGATGGCAAGCTGTACAAGAATATAACACAAAAAACATCAAGGGTAAGCTACAGAATGCATTTTGAATGTAGTAGCTGGTTCAAGGTCGGTGTGTTCACATTTAACAAAGAATGGCTGTGAATGTATTGCTAAAAAACAAAAAAGGGAGAGACAATAAAAAAGAATCATTTCAACTTTTGCTTCTCTTATTCTGTGGCATCTTCTCAACATGTTTCATGACAAGATACTACAGATAAAGTATTTTGTTTCTGCGATGTAAAAAATTTAGTGGATATCTCTCACCAACCTCACAGATGCGTGTGCATTAAAATGATCCACTCTGTTTTTTTTTTTTGGCAATAAACACACCATGTTCCCTGTTAAACATGCACTCGGACAAACTACTGACACTGCTTCTGGCAGGGCAGTATTGCTGAATGGACAAGACTATAAGTAAAAAAGCACAATAAACACACATAAATCTATGTACATAAAAACATAGTCTGATCACTTGCAAGCTCACTTGGAAAAGAAGAGGAGATTAAATATGTACAAGTCTTTTAAAAAATGAGTAAGATGCAAGTGGTTGTTTTTCCTCTCCACTGAGTTGAGCATTTACCTCTGCTGTGTGTACAGCCTGTCGCCTGTTGTCAGCTGTTAGCTGATGTTGCTCTGAACAAACTGGGCCCATCGCCAAGGAGGGGTATTGGGGTGCATTTCCCGCCCTCTTACAAACCCCTCCACCTCCAAAAATGCATTTTCAAATAGGAACAAAAAAGACTTATTAACAATTAGTGCATCCACTGCAACGTGTGAGGTCTTTGTGAGCACCGAGGAAAGCTTTCACTGACCACTGATTGATTGATGTGCCTGCAGGTAACACAGAGCTGCAGACAGCTGCAGAGTTTCCACACAGAGACGTCGTCATTCATAGCTACAAGAACTAGGGGTGCTGAGGGTTCTGCAGCAACCTGTCTGTCTCGTTACACCCCAATCTCCAAGTCCCTGTCACCCAAATTAACCTTTGTTTTGGCCTAGTGATCTGTTGTGACAGGAAGGTCTGGGCTGGATTCACACAGCCTTTCTAGCATGAAAATACATTTCCAATTCAGCTTTGAACCAGCAGCAGCACTTTAAGTATGGCTTTGTCATGAGTTACGACTTTGTGTTTATTTCATCCTAAACAGGCCATTTTATACTGTCATATGGTTTAGTTGATATAATGTAATATGCTGCTGTCCAGATGTGATTTACTATGTGGCAAATGTATTATGAATGCGCGTTTTAGCCCAACTGTGAGTTTTGGCTAAGTTACAGTTGCAGTGCATGAATAAATTGGTTTAGCAAGAAAACAACTTTGAAAAAATATTGTGAATCTTGCTTATGGATCGTGATGCAACAGGTGCAGGAACCTCTCACAACATTTAAATGAAAAAAAATCATCAGAATCTCCCTGAATTCATTTCAACAGTATTGTTGAATGATAGAAATATCGACAATATTTCATTTAATAATGAGGAGGAAGAAAAAAAAGGCCCGCCTGCGGAAGTGAGATGCCCACCCTTTCAGTCTCCTCTGGCTAAGGGGTTGGGACAAACTGTTTAAGTCCGTCATATCCCTGACTGTACAGGTACTCCAGGTACCAGCTCCATGGCTTGGAATGCTGAAACACACACAGAAACACATACAGTCACATCAAAGACATATGACCAGTTCTGTCATCAAAGAAATGTCTTTTAATCTTTGAAACATGACTGATGTACACCTAACTACACGTGAAGTCTATTATAAATGCAGAAATAAAAAGGAGACCCCTCATACCTTTATGGAATTGAAGTCCATGTCCTTTCTCCCTGGCCAACACTGATAAAGAAAGGACATTAATATTCATTGTCAAGATCACTGCTGGATGTTGCAATTCGACCAAACCAAAAAAAGGTGCTTGTATTATTAAACATGATGAAAACCACCGTCTCGTGCAGCTCCCATTAATAATAAAATGTCTGTCTGTATTAATGTATCTTCTATGAAAGATACATTAATACCACATTTGTCTCCTTGTCCTGCCTGTACGTCTATTAACCAAACTCTACAAACTGGCTGCATGCTGATAAATCAAGTGCCTCTTACAGTCTGGAAATAAGCACAGGCTTTGGAGCGGGTTTTATATAAACGTGCAAGCAAGCATTTTGTGGGCTGCAGCAGGTAGGACCCTTCCCACATATCTCTGTAAAACACAAATACACAATACATATACACAAAAGAAACCTGAGATGATTCGCACTCACCTGCTGGTGAAAGTCGACAGCGTAGCTCATGAAAGCAGGGTGGTGGATGAGGTCGAAACTTGTCCAGTATTGTGGTACATTGCTCTTGAGGAGCAGCTCCTCTCCCAGCTGTACACCCATACCTGGATTAAACATTTTGGAGTTCCACAGGCAATTGACCATGACGACCAAGTACTGGTTGAACTCACGAAACGTCTGGCGGCTGATGTGAAAGGCCTGCTAAAAAAAACAAAAACAAAAACAAAAAAACAGAAACAAAGGAAGCGAGAGAATCAGAAGAAAAAATAATAAGAAAGTGGAGAAAGAAAGACAGGGTCCAAGTAAAACACTGCCCACATTTAGATCATTTCACATCTGACTTTGCTCTGCTGATTAATTTGCATGCAATTTACCAAGTCCATTTTTTCTTAATAAAAAGTGCCACTGACATTTTCAGGGGAGCGTACTGGCTGCCTGACATGTACTTGTAAATTCAAAGCTCCCGGTGGCAGCTGTATTAAAATCAACATCTTTTCAAGTCCTCGTCTGAGAGAGTATTTAAGTTAGGTGGATGCTTGTGGATTCTTAAAGAGCTGGACTGAGATATGTTAACTTAAAAACTAGTGCAGTGAATCAAAGGCTGTACAAACAACAAGCAATTTTAGAGGACAGTAGCATCTACAAACCTTAAATGTAATAAGAGGAAATGCACTCAAGATGTGGATATGCATCTCTTCTTCTCTAGTCAGTGGCTAATATGAAAGGATTTTACCCGCACATTGTCTGTCAAGTACTTGTAGCAATGGACCAAAATGTATTCTCACACTGTCACTTCGATATCACAGCAGAGTTTCATTTGCAGATATGTATAGCAAGAATGAAGCAGCTTGGTTTTACCTCTGTGACCTTTTCTTGAGTCTTGGCTGATGTCAAGTTCACCTTGTATCTGAACAGAAAAGAGGTAGTTAAAGACCAGTGACCTCTGTGATCAAGAATGTCTGCAAAACAGTTTGTTCTCTGTGGTCGGTCAAAAACATTATGCTATTACCTTCCAATTTTCTTTTGCTATGGCATTTTTACACTTTGGTAAAATCATTTCATAACCCTGGGGTGTAGTCAATTAGCCGACACTGTAAGGATTTGTGTTATTAAAGCCCAGAGTTATAAATGGCGCTTGAATTCTACATAAAGGAGGAGAAGAGGGCTTAAGTGTATTGCCTCTTAACCGCTCATTATCATAAATAATACATCACCATGTAAGTGCAATGAAGCCATTTGATTCCAGTTCTGTTCTGTCATCAAATATGAATAAGCATATGACATACATCATTACGTGTGTAGCTAACGTATGCATCAAGACAAGCTTATGGCAGGCTGCAACATAGATATGAAGAGTCCTCACCTGTACATGATGAAGGCCAGTCGGTCCACGCTGACAGGGTCTAGGGAAAACAGGGCTGGGTAAAAAACTCCAGGTGGGGGCATCACCACGAGGGGGAGCCCATACTTCAGAAATGTGTCACACACCTAGGAGACGGAGAAATATATAGTAACCACCCACAGAGAGTTAAAACAGTGAAAAGTAGATACTTCAACATGGAGCAGATCTCACTTCCGAAGCTTTCATTATGACCCTGCTTTGATAAAAGTGGGTACAACTCATCTGTGCAGCTATTCTTCGTATCCTATCTTCTTTATCCATTTTTTTGTGCCAAATAAGGGAACTACTGTTTATGCTTTGCAGTAAGTCTCTCTGTTGTTAAGGTGTTTACTGAGCACGGAAAAAGAACCTTTATACGCTCCTTCTGATGCTCCTGAGATAAAACTTTATGAGAAGTTGCCAAGCAACCAGAAGAAGTTACTGGTCCTGGCAAAGAAATAGTTGGGCACATAATACTCAAGTAAAACAGTAAATTGACATTTTTACATTTCAGTTTTTTGTTAATCAGTGAGTGTTAGAGGAGCTGGTAGGCCCTCAGACAGAGCCAGGCTTGCTCTTTTCCCCTGCTGTTTCGCCTTTATGCTTAGCTAAGTTAGCTGGCAGCTGACATTTAGCATACAGATATGACAGAGGTATCAATCTTCTCATCTTACTCCCAGCAAGAAAGTGAATAAGTGTATTTCCTGAAATGTCAAAGTATTCCTTTAAAAGCATTTTCTCAAACCAGTCTAACTGTTCCTTGATTGGAGTATTATTAGGATGGATCTGCTTTTACTCATCCTCATTATGTGTTTGTTGTTAATCATTTGAAATCTACTGCATATCTGTGTTTATACACCTTATTATGGTATATACTTTTTATTGCTGTTATTTTAAGAATCTTACATTATCCTTATGGTCTTATCCATTCGAGCATTTTCTCCTTATTTTGTCTGACTCATTTCAAGTCTGTCCCATGTGTTTTGTAAGGTTTATGTTTTATGTTCTGTTTGCTATTATTAACTTGACCAGGAAACCCCTAAAAATAGATTTTTAATCTTAGAGAGGCCCTTGCATGGTTAAAGACCCCCTTCAGACATGTTTTAAGACATAAAAAATACTTTGCTTTGAATAATAATGTCTCTGATACGATTTTTCCACAAAAAGTTAAATTACCATGGCTAAAAAAGATCTGAGGATCTATAAACATGCAAATATTTTTCTTTTCAAATGCTAACTGTTCAACTAGACACAAGTGGTCTCCTACTTCACTGAAGAGATTCATGTTCATATGTAGGCGTCTCAAACTTTTTAAGATTTAACTTTCCCACAGAGAATCTTTTTCCTATCAACAGACAGATGTGAAACAATCAGTCTAGTGTCAAACTCTATATATACACATCATTCTGCACAGTGAAGGCCAAACATCCAATTGAAGTAACAATTAGTCAAATACATCTTCGAGTGCAGGAGATCAGCTCATTTACCGCCTCATAGAAGTCCAGGATGAAGCTGAGGAGGAGAGAGTGACAGCCTTCAAGCTGAAGGCCCACAGAGGCCAGACGACCTACGAAGTGAACCAACTCCATCACTGAATCCTTGAACCCTGACAGAGTCATGTTTCTGGGACACAGGGCAGAGCACAGAGTCAGACACACACTCTAATGGAAGGACAAACACTTAAATGATGACACTGCAACACCAGTCATCTGATTTTCCCATGGAGTAAGACTCAGTGACTCAATGAAATCAGTCAAAGTGGCAGCTCACTACATTAGTGAGGACAAACACTGGATCAAGACTGGTGTGAGAAGCACACAAACACACAATCAATTATTTCTACATTCGTGAGTACCAGAGGTTAGTTTTCAATTGGTAGTGAATAAAAATGGATCCCTCCACTTATTGGATCATTTATTGTGGGATTAAACAGGTGAGGAGTCAATACTGATGAAGCCCAGGTATTTAAACATAACTGACACTAACTCCACCCTTTAATTAGGGAAATCATTTAACTGGAAATTTGGACTGTTTTTGTCTCAAAAAAAAAAAAAAAATCAATTATAAGATGTGATGAATAAATGAGTTCAAAACACAACACGTTAATACAGACCATAGCTGCTTTGGTTGCTGGTGGATAATGGATGGCTTAAATTAACACTATAAAGTTTCTGTATAGACCAGTGTGAGGGTTTCAGTCGAGATTTGATAGGACAGCATAAAAAAAGCCCAAAATGCTGCTAAAAATTAATAGTATTATTAATTTTAACTAAAATGTCAACTGAGACAGCTATAATGGGATTTTTTTTCATTCCACTAACCCACAGTAAGCAAAACGGAGCCAACACCTCAAGATATTTATTATAACTGGAAGAACTGAGGTGTGAGAAGACTTTTTTGGCTTAAAAGTGAAAACTTAAAGAGCCATAACCCTTATGCTCTTAAGTAAATTCACAAAGTGTTTCAGGTCTATTGCTTGTTTATGCTCTGGGCATAAACAAATAGCAGAAAGTAGCTGTGAGACTCACATGGAGGTGTGGCTGTTGAGGCTGATGTCCAAGTCGTCCTCCAGAGCATACACTGAGTGCCAGGTCAGCCACTTCAACAGCATATTGCTTAGACACTCCATCAGTCCACACTGCAGACACACAGACAACAAAGAGGAAAATCATTAAACATACAAGAGTTTAAACACTAAGCTAATCAGGACCCATAATGGGTGCTTTATAAATACTCTATTGCATCTGTTCTAATAAATTATAGTAGAAGGTTTTGTAACTCAAGTACAGTAGCTGGAGCAAACTCATTCTACATGTGCATCAGAAAGGAAAACCTACCTTAAAAAACAGCGAGGATGTGAAGAAGAGCTGCATGAGTGGCTCAAACAGAAGCCGTCCGATTTCTGGAGAGGGGGGAGACAGAGGGTTACAGCTGATCCAGCTTTTTTAAATGCACCACTGTCACAATTCCTAGTAGATGGCACAACATGACAGGCCTTGTCGATATGGGAACATGGCTGCTATTTCATTCAAGTGGAGAGCAAGGTTTTTGGGGGGGGGGGGCAGACTGTGGAAAACTCACGGGAACTGGGGACAACAGGAATGTTGCTCAGCAAGCTGAGGATCTGTGGGCGGAGCAGGGAGCCGTCCCAAACACTGAGGAACTTGTAGAGGAAAGCCTCTGAACTGGAAAACGATTCCTGGTGGAGAAAAAACACTGTAAAGTCATAGTCTGACTGTGGCTTTGCAGCAGGTGTCAGCTAGGCATGTGGGTGCAGAAATAATGAGTGACAGGTGTGGGGCACTAGAGAGGTAGTCATCGGGGCTTGAGAGCTGAGGCTCACCTGGAGAAAGTGCTGTGAGGACAGTAACTTGTCCAAAAACTGCAGAGCTTCTTCTGAGGTCTGGGAGCCTCCTCCATCACCGCAAAACAAAAATTCTTAACACAAAGAGCAAAAAGGTATTTAGTAAGTGAAAAAGTCAAGGGAATAAATAGAGAAAAGCAGAAGATTTCAGATGTGCTGCATCTTCATACAGTGAGACCTCCCCCCACAGTCTTTTTTAAACCCTTCTCTGAAAGAACCCCTTTGATATGCCAACTAGGTAATGTGTGGTGGTTCAACTCAAGGTCAGCTTCGCTTTAGATGTAACTTCCTGATAGAAGATGTCACAGAAAATAACTCCCCCCCACACACACAAAAACACACAAACATAGACACACTTACCTTCATGGAGAGCGTAGCCTAGCCAGAAGTTGAGGCGTAGGAGGGCAGACTCATCCTGTACACAGTCAAGGTACTGCAGTGCCAGACTGGAACCCAGCAGTGAGCCCATCTGAGCAGGCAGCTGGTGGAGGTAAAATTAAGAAATCAGGAACATATGAAAAGTATGATTGAGATGCTAAAATAATCAAATATCCATAAATGAAAGGCAGCGCTGAGTCAGAGCAGTGAAAAAAAAAAAAAAAATCATATTACCACATAACTTTGATAACAAAGTCAAACACATTTTAAAAAGAAACAAAAAGTTGATCTGTGAGACTGATTGCCTCAAATTGGTTCAAGATCAATCTGTTTCCCTGCTGAAGAATAAGAATCAACTAATGCTTATTTCCTTCTTTTCACTGAGTGTGCAAACAATCAGATACTAAGTTAATTCATCAGTATCTGGTAATCCCCATAATGTCAGCACTGGGACATTTCTTCCATCACTCTCTGTATTTTATATAGCCCATTATTGTACATGAACAGCTGCCTCTCAATAACAATACTGTGTCTGTATAATAAATAAATCAAAGTAAGAAGAAAACAGACTGTGAATGGACACAGTTCAGCTCTTCAATAATTATGGAGAAACTCTATTATCAAACAGAGAAATCCCCATTCTGCTTATGACAACGGGAGCACAGGAGTTGAGGGAAATCACCATTGATGCTTTGTCAATACCTTTGTTGAATAGTTTTATGAGTGTGATTGTACTCCAATGTCTTTCCTAACACATGGCAAAGTACAGCTTACTTGGCCATAAACACAGCTGATGCTGTCCAAAATCTTTATTGCTCATGTTGGTTTTGTGGGCAATGAAAGAGGTGAATTTATGTAGCATGACGCATAAAAGTCTGCAAGCCATTTAAAATGACTTATATTAGTTTATCAGGTCACTGAATCTGCAGGGCAATAGACATTTATGGAGAGGGCTCTTTAAATGACCATTTGCTTTGTAACCAATGCATTACTCAGATATATCTAATCTCAGGTTCTTTTGCTTTCATTGTTCATATAGGATAGATTAAGCCACTGATGATATCTCCAAAAAGAGCAACAGCCTGTTTGAAAAACAAATCACAGCAAGGTGCTCATGAAAGTGCTTTATGCTCTAATCTAATAAACTAATTACAGCCCCGGGCCACCTCTGCTGTGGTTTCTCTAGGACAAAGTTGTTAGTGGCCTGATACATATGTACAGATAAAATTGTAACAGTGGCACAGCACCACCCAGTGGCTGTCAGGATACATCACAATTTAAATGCACTGGTTCTTCATCCTAATGGCATGGAAAAACTGGCATACATTTTATTCTGCTGCTTAAATAATGAATGATCCTCATGCTTAAATGATATTCTATCTGTACCCAGTCCAGGTGCGATTGGGCTCTGAGACTAAGAGCTGAACTGTAGAAGATGAGGTAGATGGGAATAGAAAGAGTGAAAGACTGAAAAGAAGCAAGACAGTAATAGGGGTAGGGGCGGCCCCAGTGTCAGCACCCTGCGGATGTAGAACTCAGAGAGATTTTTCCTAGGAGGTATCACCTCTATACGGTGCATATTTTCCAGCAGCTGAGTCAAGGAGTGGAGCTGCACCAGGGGGACCACCTTTCTGCTGGAGGACAGCTCGGTCTGGGCCTGCTTATTGACTAGAGAACTCAAAACCGGCAATTCCAGGTGGCAGTGTTTCTGAGAAATAAAGCACAGTAAAAACAGACAATAAATAAAAGCTATACAACTGCTCAGAAGAACAGATTAAAAACAAATACTGTACAGTAATTATCATTTAATCTGCATTTGTTTTGTCAATGAAATATTTGAGAATTGTGTCTCCGTTTCCTCAAGGTAACGTCTTCAAGCCTTTTATTTTGTTCAATCAATAGTCCAAAACCCGAACATATTCAATTTACAATGAAAAAACAGAGAAAACCAGCAAATGCATTTCTGCTTGAAAGGTATAACAAACGATAAACGAATGCAGGGCGGAGGAGGGGCTGTCAAACGTTGGAGTGGCAATAGCAAGCTGCAGCAATAACTGCAGTATAGCAGGAGTGATTGCAAACACAGTGCATTGCACATGAAAACCTAAACAGACATACATACCCTTTTCCTAGGGTTGGTCTTATCTTTAATTGTGAAGGGCAGACTGGTACTGGAGGCAACCTGGGAACCATTCCTCTTCTGGACAGCAATCAACGCTGATTTCCAGGGGGAATTGTAGTTCCTAAACCCACTCTGTGAGAAAACAGAAAACATACAATTTTATTGTTGCTTTAGGGATGATGGTCCTATGGTAGTATAACAGCAGAACGAGCATTAACTGTCCATGTACAAACCCTCATTCGTGATGGAATGGAGAGAGTCACGAGTTCAGGGCAAAACACTTTGTAAAGTGACAGTAGGTGCAGGAGGAACGGCTGCCTTCCCTGAGGAAAGACAAAACACATCTTGCACTCGATATATTCATTTTGATTGATGTTTCCTAATAATGCAAAATATGACTATAACCAAGGATATGGAAAGGGTAATTGTATATGGGAACAATAAACAGAGCACAGGAAAAAAAAAACACATCATGCAATTTATTTAAGTCAGTAAGGAAATAATGTAGTGTTGTTGTGATAAATGGCCCTAGAGGACATCAAATCAGCAGGATGTTTACCAGTTTAGACTGTAGCTCCAGCAGCTTTCTGACTCTGAAGACTCGTACTACAATGAGAAAATGAATGAAGTAATCAATAAAACTCAGAGAAGTGGTGAGAATACTAAAGAGAGGAAATAACAGAGTAAACTAGAGGAAATAGGGGAAATAGCAGTAGAAGAAATAGCAGTAGAACTGTGGATCATATTTCAGGTGTTAAAATGTTTAACTTACCACTTTCCTTTCTGGTCAAAAGGTACAACAGATGGCAGATGAAAGGACACTGAAAAAAATGTGACAAAATATAATGACTTCACATCTCAACTGTTGTTCAGCAGATCCCATACCACATTATAGTGGAGATGTCATTTCATTACACACTAAAACACTAGGGCCTCCTCCAAGAAACAGGCTCATGGAGTTGTCTGGATGACTTTGCAGATTAAAGCCCTGAATACATCAGATCATTTTCAGTTTCAGATTTGAGGGGATTTTTGTTTTTAGCAGCGTAGTAACAGATAACTCAGGGCCCTGGTTATGAGGCCCTTTGCTCCTAAATGGATTAACTGCAACAAAATAGAACAATAAAAACATCATTTGTAATGTATCAATCATAGACCTAAATCATATAAACCCATTATCCATCTTTCCAGTGAGGCTGAAATTAACCTTTATTTATGACACCAAGTCTGTGTCAAGGCACAGCTATCAAAAACAAAGAGGCATTTGCCCTCTTCTTTTAACAGCTCTGGCAAATAGATATAAATGTAATTTAGATGACAAATAACCTTAGAGAACCTTATATTTGTTATTTTAAAACAAGTGAAAACGAATAGTATACTGTATACATTTGATTTGATGCCATCACATTTTCTAAACAACTTATTACAACAATACAAAGATCATAAGCACACATACCAGATTTTCATCTGTGACAAAGCTGAAGATGAAGCCATAGACAGCTCGAAGTTGGTCCTTTGCATCAATCAGGTCAAATACGGTCAACACCCACTTTATAAAAAGAATCTGAATATTGTACATGCAAGAGAACACATGGATTAACTATGGCACAATCTCAGCAATGACAGAATAAAGAATCACAAGCAAGCAAACAAACACTCACTCCATCTCAAATGTCACATAACACCAATTCATCTTTGAAAACTAAAAGAAGCTAGTTTTTGCAATCTTTTTATTGACCAAGTTATTATATCAATGAAAAGAGTTGTTGTATTATGCGTGTACAGCTGATAATATGTCTCCTCCAACCAACATACTTAAAAATTACTCATGAACACAAAACGGTTTCAAAGAAATCAAATCAAGATTTACTCCCATCAACATGATGTTACAATGTAACTGCCCACTATCCATCAAAATCTTAAAGCTTTAATATTTTTAAGTGCAAACAAAATTATTTGCACTTACTTGGGTGTTGATGGGTATTTTGCCAACACCCAGCCAAACCACCGCACGAACAACGGCCCCCTGTGGCACCACAGTGGTAGGAATCAGACACTTCAGCACCCGGACACATGGAGCATTCCCTGCACAGAGAAAGTCACGGAAACAACATCAGTTAAAGGAAGCATATGTCAGGACTGACTGTAAAATATGCCAACCGTCCAATACATTAACTAACAATTTCTACTTTGCACAGATATTCCTATACTTTAGAGAAGAAGGACAGACAATTTTTGCGCCATGCTGTGACACAACTGTGTGAAAAATATGCGCTCACACCACACGGATAAGACATAACAACATATCTGCAACATAAGTAATGTTTGACTCCAGCATTCTTGTCAATTAAAACACTAATACCAGATGGTAATACATCTCAAACAGAATGGCGGCTCAGTGTCTAAGACTTCCAGGTTAAGTTAATTTTGCTGGCGTCAAATTGACTAAAATGTGATTAAGAGTGTGCCAGATGTTATCCCTGTTGTAAACTGGTAATCTACCAAATCTGTCTTGCTTGGTGTGTGATGGGACGGGCTCAAGCCCACTCCAACCCTGTACAGGTTAAGTGCCAAAGAGGATGGATGGTATTACAGCTTTCACTATCACATGATTGGCCTACACAAACAGGTCCTTTCCTTCTGCAAGACATTCAACAATTAGAGTAATACCTAGTACACTGGTGCTGTTAAGTGACTGTCTTACCCATACGGAGGCTCATGGCAAACTCCAGCATAATAGAGATGGCCTCTGGGGACAGTCCTTTACTGTAGGCCAACCTCTCCACCAGCACCAGGTTCTTCTCAAACTCATCGTTCCCAAACAAAGGAGTACCTGCTTCAACTACAGGAAGAAGACATAACGTCACATCAGAACATGGATGTATGAGCATGAGAAAGTACAAATTCTCTCAAAATTTTCTGCAAATATGGTTTTTATTTTGTTTATTGTTTTTTATTGAAGCAGCAATAGACAAGCTAGTTCAGTCCTAACAATAACAATGACAAAAACAAGCCGGGAAATTGCCTGGGAAATTGATGACATGAAATTTACAGATGGTAAAGGCTAAATACATCCAAACATATTTAGAAATTTAAACAAGTCTCTTCTTGTTGAACATCAAATAAACACTGAAGTGATGAAATGATCTAAATAGAAATCCCCCTTGACTAATGCGATTTGCAGTCTTCAAATGTCTTTATTTTGTCTGACTGACAGTCCTGAATTCAAAGATATTAAGTTTAGTTTACCATCGCCTATGACAAAGAAAAGCACCAAATCGTCACAGTCGAGAAGCAGTAGATGTTTTCTGTTTGCAGATAATGTTACTGACTTAACCCTAACCCTGTTTGGGACTGTGGTCTGAAAGCTAGGCTAAGTAAGTAACTTAGCAACCATTAGCTAGCAGAAAATCAAAGTTACAACCTAATACCAGTAAAGTAATGTAAACTCAGGTTAACTGAATACGGTTCTTCCTGACTTATTGTTTCATCCCATCTTTCCTTGCGGAAACGTATAAATGGACAGTTAGGTTGGTAACATTAACGCCACCATCTGCCACCCCACTGGCTCGGTGTTTGTCTGGGCCACCTCCTACCGTCAGAGAAGTACTTCAGGGCCAGAACAAACGGGTCCTCCGCCTCATTTTTCCTCCTCTCCTTTTCTGCGACTCTCAGACTTCTGTTAATGCTCCGGCTGGAAGCCGTTTGGTCGGCTAGAGACGATAGGTCTGAATCCGACGGCGCCGACAGGTTTAGCTTTGTTGCCATTTCTACATTGCTAAAACTTAAAAACACTGTGCCCCACTCCGTCCTCGGCCATTCAAACAAAACTCAAATTCTCCGCGCGACCGTTTGCTCTGCGCCTGCGCAGTATAGTCCATCCGCTTGGTTGCTTCACGGGAGTTGTAGTCCGTCTGCCTTCAACCGCTGAAAGACAGCTATTAGGAATACAAACGTCACGTAGCTGTGTCTATCTGAGGGGCTACAAATTTGGTGTTTAAAAAGAGGACGACACAACATTGCTGATAGTCGACAGACGGTTAGTACTCCCTTATAAAACATAAAAATTGGATACTAACGCATCAGTAGTCACAAAATTGTTAGGGGCTGTTGAGATATTTAAACAACGCTTCAAGTTGACACTGGACAACATTGCAGATATTCTTAGTAATGATTTTATTTTACCAGGTTTTGAGACATCACTCTAATTGCAAGAGTATTCAAAATGTAATTGTTGGGTGTAATTTAACAACCTCTCTTGGAAACCTCACATAGCTTATTTAAAAGTCAAGTATTTTGAACAAAACAAGGCATATGTTCGATAATAGGGCACTTTAGATGTTGTAGCCTACTTCTCAGTTAACGTTTTTTAAAGTAATTTTTAAAGCAGAAATGTCAAACATTTTGTGGTTTCAGGTTCTCAAATTTGATATTTTGCTGCGTTTGTTGGTCTTATTACACAGAGTTTGGGGGGTTTTGAACTGTTAGTTGGACAAAGTGACATCAGTCATCAGTCAAGTGATTTCTTGTGAATGTTGTTTGTGGTGCTTAATCATTTGGCCTATAAAATATAAGAGCATAGTGAAAATGTCAGTCACAAGTCCATGTTAACATATTCAAATGTCTGACCAACAGTCCAAACCCCAAAATATTTGTTGTACTATAACTGAAAATTAAGAAAAACTATAAACTATCCAAACCTTATGAAACCAAAATGAAAATGACAGGCATGGCAACTAGGAAGCATTCTGTTTAAATGTACCTTTTGCTCTATGTTGGTCCAGCTGTTCTGCAAACACGACAATCACAATTAGTTCTTTGTACATAATTTTAAAAGTAGGCTACTGTGCCCTTTAACCTTCCCCTAAACAGTAAGATGTAACTGACCTCCAGTCCAGTTTTCATGCTCCAATTTTGTCTTGAGGGCCAAAGACATAACAAAAAGACCCTTGTTTCTGAGTTATACTATTTGTCCCCTCACCCCTGGTATTTAGGACCGGTTCTTTTCCGCCCATGTAGGGTTATGATTAGGAATGGGTTTTCCTATGTTTAGGTTATAGTTTTACAGCCCTTTCCCAGAAAATGCATATTAAATTCTGTTATGAGAAATCATCTTACAGCAAAATAACATTTTATCATGGTTCTTTCCCAAAAAAAATTCCGCTAACTTCATTAATTTCATGCTACATTATACAATTTCTATTATTTGTTCACAAAACTGATTAACCTGAAATGCATAGAATAAAATAAGCAAGGAATCCCTTACAAGGCATGAGGACAGCTACATATTTGGGACCAGGAAACTTTGTGTTCATGTGAAGGAGTGTGCCAATATGAAGCAAACAGGGACTGACTAAAATTGTATAACAAGATTACAACACAAAAATCCCACAACAGAACACATTGTTGCAAATTTAAGGAAGGGTTCATTATTAACTTTGACTGAATGAGATGTAAGAGTGCTAATAAACAAACAATATTTAGTCAGTCTTAACTCCATTTCTTTATTTTAAGTACATCATTTACAGAAATATTGTGAAATCTCAAAACTGACAGAGTTTTATCCCCAAAGCAAAACTGTAAAAGGAATAATTTTTATATCTTTACAGAGAAAAATAAAACCAAACGGATGAGTAGAACCGTTAACAGACAGTGGATAGGTTTAAGATTTCAACTGTGAATTACAAAAGGTAAAATTCCATTTTTAACAAGCAAAAAGACTTCATTGATTTGGTTATGTTCTGCTGTGCAAGCTAGCAGCAGACACCTGAGGCAGCACTTGCTGTCCTTCCCAGCAAAACAACTTCAATGTTATAACTGAACTGAAAGGAGGAAAAAGGCTATTCAGCTTATTTTACTTCAGGAAAAAGGATTTCATGCGTACTTCTGCACAAATCTATTGAGATGAAAACTGAAACAAAGATTAATATATTCTTTCTTTCCAAAATAGCCTTCTGATAACACTGCACCAAAATAAGATGTGGATATGTAATACTAGTTCATGTATGATTAGTACAAAATTCTTTCAACAGTGCTCCTTTTGGTTTATGTTCTATTGTCTTGACCAAATGAAACATGCTTGAACTACCGAAATTCATAAATTATCAGTCTCTCACACCTACAGTATAAAAACAAATTAGAAAAACGAGCTACAAAGATTCTTTCATGAAAAATAGCATTCTCAAATCAACATAATTGAAATTCACACTTGAGTTAAAACACAAACACAGACACAGTTGGACTGAAATAAATAGGGAAAATGGATTGACTATTGTGACAATGAGCTGAGATCATCAGTTTCCACAGGTATGATTGTCCACAGTTATGTAGAGGATGTATGGATCAGGAGTTCTCAGTTTCACATTAAGAGTGCAGAGGAGTAGGTGAGAGGAATCAGTCAGCCAGCTGGATTGGACGGGGGATGTGTGAGGGCTTTTATTACTGGAAGTGACTGTTTCCTTCAAAATTTGAATGACTACAATCCATAGAGGCGCACCAGGTTCCCTTTGCTGTGGCTCGGACCAAAGTGGAAGAAGATCTTAAGACTGCTTGACCTTGTTCTTTTCCTGGTCATTCATGTGCTGTTCCTCTCTGCTGTCCTCTCTCTCTGGCCGGTCATCACTCTGGCGGGCAATAAGAAGTCGGCAGGTGAGCAGAATACCAAAGACTAGAGCATGGGCGTACCGCTTCAGGGGGTCTCCTACTAGCTGGTGGAAGAACAGGACGGCCAGCATGACCAGCAGCAGCAAGAAGTTGGCCACGTCCTTTGGCCTGCCTGGCACAAGGGTGAGAACCACACCGCAGCCCACCTCCAGAGAGCCAATGATCTTACGAAGCAGAACTGAGCTGATCCCAATCTTTTTCAGGCCTGGCAATGCCTTGGCGTAGCTCTTGTATGCCCTTTTCTGCAGGGAAAAAGTACAGACATCTTTTTTAATATCTCAAACATTTAACTAAGGTCATGCAACCACCATTGGGTGTCTTTCAATGAGCATGTAAGGTCACCATCCTCAAGTGTTGAACATTCAACTGCTTCTATTTCATCACTGTACAACAACTGGTTGCAAAATTAATCTTGCTAACTGGCTCAAGAGAACCTATAAACCTATACATACACGGTAGGAAGATATCCTCGTAGCATGTTAGTTAGGATTTTGCATGCCAGCTATCATCATCTTCCACTTAGGACATTTCATCATCAGCAAGTGCATCTCAGAGAATTTGCTCGAATGCGCCGCCATTGCTCTTTAGCTGTGAAGTTGCTCTTCAAATTAAACGAGAAGCTTAGCAAATGCAACATATTTAATGGGCTACGTAGAGCCGCCTACAATTTACAAACATCATCTTTAAGCTAAATTATAGCATGTGTTAAGAAAATGCATTCAGTCATTCATTATTCATTCCGATTTCAACGTTACTAGCTAAAGGCAGACACATTTCGGGTTGTTTTATGTGTCCATACGGATTCATGGATGTTAGCTGTGATAATACGGAAATATTTGAAGGGTTATCTTAAAACATACAGGCCAACCTGTGTGCTAAATGTTATTAAAGGCAATGCAGGAGGTCTTAACATTTTAGATACAGGATTATTCACTGAGAAAATAAAGCTCCACACAGGCAGATTAGAAGATCAAGTCGGTATCTAAAGCCTTCATTTCCCGTATCTTTTCCTATTTAGGTCAGCATCTCCACACATTATTCGAGCCTGAGAGCCTTTCTCGTTTGCAGCCAACACAGAACAATGGCCTTTACCCCCACACTTTATCGTTGCGATTTACTCACCATTTCACTGTATGCATCTTTGCTTAGTCTCGGGGTGAGCTTAATGGTTCCCATAAACACGAAAAACAAACCCAGAGCAAAAGAGAGGGCCACGATAGTTATTGTCCTTGGTGAGGCCATCTTTCTGTACCGTGCATGTAGCCTGTCGCTTCCCACTGAGTTGAATGAAATTCAGACGGTTTCCCGGCGAAGATGCACCAGGAGGAGGAGGATGGGCTTCTGGCTGAACCACAAAAATGGCGACGTGTTGGACCCCCCCTCTCTCTCTGCGCCGCATCCAGCAGCAGCCTGACAGCAGCTCAAACACAGCTTTACACGCTCATTTCGCCTGTCAATTACATGAATTTGACAGTATTCGGTAGGTTTTTGTTTTACCTTCTACAACTACAATACACTGTCTCTAAAAAGCGGGAACAGCCAGGCGAAAACAGCATAACCCCAGGGGCCCCAGCAGCTAGAGGCACACTTTGTAAAATTAGTTTGGTAGTAAAGCATATCAACTGGTCTGCAGTGGTGGTAGAAGTAAAAAGACACTTAGCTTCAGTAAAAGAAGTACAACTCCAAAAATACTCATGAATACTAAATGTTACTTAGGTATCATAGTATTTTAGGAAAATGTAAAGTCTTAAAAGTAAAGGTTCTCAATGCAGGAAAATACCCACACTCCTAACAAAGAAAAACTGTAAAAGAAAAAAAGCAGCTCATTTTTGCCCCCATGTCCCCAAGCAGGATGATTTGGGGAAATGAGGACACGTTTTTCTTTTGTCTGCACAGAAAAAATAAAATCAGATAGATTTTGTTCCCAACTGCCCATATGTCTCAAGGCAGCACAACAACAAAAATGGTTTGCAGTTTTGCACATTTCGGTAAACTCCCATTAAAAACCAGAGCAGCGTACAGTGAAACAGAAGTATACAGTATTTAGAAGTATGAATGTAAGCATTTGATGGTCTTTACCCAGGTGGTGTTTGTCATCAATCTTCCCCTGATAGGTCCCAGCTCATATCTTCTCATCCTATTTTTAGTTTTTAGTTACTATTTTAATAGACTAACAAACCTTGAACAACAAGAGATGTCCTTTATTGCCAGACAGAAATCTGTTGTTTTCCTATGTTACATTTTAAAAGGACACCCCCACCTACTTTACAATGAAAAATAAGGTCAGCAATTCACCAGTGAGTAACGGAGACACTAACAGCTTCAACAGAACTTCACCAAATCTCACTCAACAAACCACAAAATTATGTTTATCTTACTTAATTAAAAAATCTTTGTCATTGCTAAAGTCTAGGACAGTACAATCAATACTGACAAAACTTCAGAATGCCTCTGACAAATCCAGAAGCTGCAGCAGTAAATACCCATCTTGGTAGGTGCAGAGTTTTTCCATACAAATGAAGTATTGTGGAAGATGGTGAAGATGACTCGAAGGCTGCCATGAAAGGGCTCAGATCTGACAGAATAACTATGTAATGTCAAAAAGGAGAAAAAAAACAGAACCCATCTTTCCTGAGTATAACTTCAGATAAACAATCTTGTTCTTCATCTGTTGTCTGTGTTAGATGTTTAAATCTAAATAACTTGTTGCACAAATATTTGTTTGCTGTTAACAATACCTGCTGCTGCTGTATGTATTGTATGTAAACACACAAGACATGCAAGTAGTGACAAAATGTTTATTATACAATTTCATAGAGTTGATCATCACTTCAACAATGGCCCCTTGCTCAGTGCACTGATCATTGCTGGAAAATTGTTCAAATAATCATAAAAAAAATTCGGTTCAAAATTCATGTTCCCCTAACAATTAAAACTGCATAGATTTATACAACTTAAACATTTTGGCCAAGCACACACATTTATTTTAAATGTAACTGATTAAAATGTTATATTATTAATGTGTTTTCTATGATTACATGTTTATGCAGACCTGTCCTTCACTAGACTTTGGAATTTGCAATTTCACTCCAAAGGTTCAGGGATTAGGTCTGAAATGACCTGTCTATAGAAGCCTATAGAAAGTGATAAAGACATAGCCATCCCCTGGTGAGAAGAAGTGTTTGAGAGTTTGTGAAGTGATGTAGTGTGTTGTATACTACTGCTGTGGACCACATCCTCACACTCAGTTGGCAGGACACAACCAGGACTCACTCTCTCACTGTCCCTGATCCTGACGTTCCCTCAGAGCCAGTATTGCTTTTCGGTAAAGATCTATCAGGAGACAGGGTCATCTTTTTAAACATGCGTCTGGATTTCATCATTTTTAGAGTCCAAAGTGTTACTGTATTTGATTGGTGGATGGAAGAAGTGGATGAGGCTCACCCAAGGTTGCAGAAAGGTCCACAGGTTGAGAGTAAGCTCCAGGCATCTCCTCTGTGTTGATCTTGTTCTTTCTTTTTACTTTCACAACTTTCTTCTTCTTCCTCTTTTCTCCTTTAGCTAGACATAAGAGAAAATAAATATTAGATTTCCATTCTGAAATAGCAAATGACCCAAAAAATATAGGCCATTCATAACTGATTACAACCTTTTAGTGGCTTCTCCTCATTGTCTGGCGATTCTGGTATGTCCAGAGTCTCTTCTTTCACCTTTGGTTTGCTTTTCATTTTGCCCTTTTTTGGGGGGATCAGGGCACTACTGGCTTTCTCTCTATGAGCAGAGTTTTCTTGGTCTCCTTCATTACCGTCACCCTCCTCTTCCTCCTCCTGTTCTTTTGCCTCTTCTCCATTTTTGTCGCCTTCCTTGTCCTTAACGGGCTTCTTCTTCTTCTTTGTCTTGAGCTTCTTTTTTAGTGTAGATTCCTGGGAAAAGACATGAGTTTAACTCAACATTTATTTATTCATTTATTTAGTGTAACATTCATTTTATATCACATAATTGCAGGGGACTTCACAGTTATGACAATAAGCAGGTAGAGTGGTTGGGTAGAGCTCCAACAATTGATTAATTGGTACATCGATAGAGAGTTAATCAGTGGCAGTTTTGATAAATGATCAGTCATCAAGAAAAATGCCAAAATTGTCTGGATCAGCTTTTCAAATGTGATTATTTGCTGGTTTTATGAGTCCTCAACCATGGATGGACACTTTTCTCTATTTTCTGACATTTTATAGACCAAGGGACTAATCGATTAATCAAGAAAATAATTGATCCGTAATGAAAATAATCATTAGTTTCAGCCCCAGTAAGGTGAATACATCTATACCAACAGAAAGTCAGTGAACTGTGTACTCTGTAGAAAAGAATACGAGATCTTTCCCTGACCTTCTGCAGCATGTTTCGAATGGGTTGCAGCTTTCCTTCACCCCGGCTCTTTTTCTCCTTGTCTTTGGGCCGATGAACCTGGCGAAGATCTGACTTGCTGGATCTCATTCTGAGGTGAGAGGACATTTAACATAAAAGGTCAGTGTGTAGCTCTATTTTTCTACAAACATGTTGACCTGCACAGCATTTGAGCTATAATTCTCTGAATATAGAGGCTTTTCTTACCGTTCCACTTTGGATTTTTTGCGAATTTTCTCTGTTTTCCCATTCTTCTCCCTCTCTCTTGGCTCCAGAGGCTTCTTGCTGTCCTGGCCTATACGAGTACACAGCTCAGGATAATCCAGACAAACAGCGCGTAGCAGCCAGCGAAGACCTCGTAGAGTCTTTCTGTCTGACCAACGTCGCAGGTCCATTAAGGCTGAACAAGGCTCCTGAGAGGGAAAGGAGAAATGTGAGTTTGTCTGCCTGCATATCTGCAGTTCTGTGCTTCTCTGGCAGGAGGTTTGTCTGCCTTATATAATCTAGTATAAGTATCTGCAAGAGGTTTATTTTTGTTCAGTTTGCATTAGAATTTTAGAGAAGTACTTACAATATGGCACAGAGAGCGGCTCTGGTTGACTAGCTTCTCAAGAGACAGAATCTCAATCAGCTCACTTCCCAGCAGAGCATTCATTTTGTCCTGTTTGTTTGCCAATCTGAAACCGAAAAAGTTTCAGCACAGATCTGAGTGATTTACTGTTATTACTGTGATTTTCCTCATCAGCCACCAGAGGGCACTGTTTGCATGATGTCAGATCAAATTTAAAAAAGTTGAATATATTTACACTAATATTGGTTTTCCTGCCACTCTCGGTTGTTTCAGCAGGTCAGCCAGGACCTCCTTGACCTCCCTTATCCTCTGTCGGTCACTGGAGTCCACCACAAAGATGATCCCATGGGCTTCTCCGTAGAGGTCCCTCCAGCCTCCTCTTGACTCTGCCGATCCTCCCACATCCAACAGGGTGACCAGGTAGTTCTCCACTCTCAGCTCATGTCGTACACAGCCTTGGGTGGGTCCTGCTTCCACGCCATGGGGGACTGAAGAAGACATGCAGGAAATTACAGGTTAACTATTTTTAATATTTTTATTATACACTGGTAAATTAGTTGTCAAAAAATACTGTGGAAAAATACTGTTGAATTACCTCTTAACAGCCCTCTGATAGAGGATGTTTTTCCTGCTTTGTCAAGACCAACCACAAGAATGGTCACTTTCCTGTAGAGAAGTATATACAGGACAGAACTTGAGTTGAAGAAGCAACAAATAGCTTTATACTCAATGACCACTTTATTGGGTACACCTGTACAATCTAATGCAAACCAATTCAACTGCCATACAATAATAAACATACAACAGAATTTACACAATTCTAATGATGTCAGGAAAAACTGAACATCATGTTCTTCGTAAAATCATGTGCTTCCTGGGAAAAGGATTGCATTTCATTGTAAAGGTGTACCTAATAAATTGGCCACTGTGTGTAAATGACAGCTGCAAATTTTAGCATTAACCCGAAATCATGTCAGGTGGCATCAGTGAACTGCACATTACGTAAAGTAAGTAAATCCTAAATATAATAAAGACAAAATAATTCTCTGAATTAATGTTAATTTCTTTGAGATTCACCCAACAACACCAGTATTTTATCTGGTAAAATATTGTAACACAACTTTTTAATGAAATGTTTCTTTATTGTTTTTGAAGACAGTTTTGCTTAATGCAGCACATGTATTGCTCAATGCATCCTTCTTTTAGACTTATGCATTTCAATCAGTATCTTTCAAGGTTTTTTTTCTCATTTTTACCTGATGGGTTCTTGTATTTTGGAGACCCAGGTGCAGCAGTTGCTCATCAGGTTGAACATGTTTACTTGAGGTGAGCACAGAGGCCACCATCTTCTCTGGAACTGGTACCTGCAAACAGATTGTCACCCTTAGTATGACTCACTCATAGACACACATACACGCACACACTGATAGGCCCAGGTGAGTCACCAGGGGCCATGGCCAGGTCCGGCACAAAGATGCTTTGTGTCTGTCTCCTGTGAGCTTAGGAGACTTTTACAGATGGTCAGACATCCAGGTGGTGCTTTGACTGCCAAGTGTCTCTCTCTATCTCCCTAGAATCTAAAATTAGCTGTAGTCTTGAATTCTTTGTCTTACTCTAATTTCAAATCTTATTTTCTACCATTTCTTGGATTAAAAATAAGTTAGAACCAAAAAAGAAAAAGTATTTCTCAGCAGTCAAAATCAAGGACCATAAAAATGTTGCCATAAATATTTCCCTGTTTTGACATTGCCTGTATAATATAATCTGATGCTGTGTGAGCCCAGTAAAAGTTTTCTTCCATGTACAGGGAGCTATGAGTCGTCCTCTCAAGGCTTGTAACACATGTAGCAGGTGTGTCTGAGGTAGTCGGGCCATGCACTAGAAAAAACAGCAGATCTTTCAGTCATTTGTCCAGTGCATCTGTTCAGGGTCTGTAATCTGCTAAAGCCAGTTTAGATTGGCTCGCTTTTACAGTGTGGTTCACAAGCTGACCCATATTTATTATGGCTGTAGTTGTTATAGTGTAAGTATGCTGCTATAGTGTAAGTAAGAGTTTGAGAAGAGTGTTTTGAAATTGCAGCGTATTAGACATTCAGAGGAAATTAAAAAAACAGTCAATTTTCTGCAGTAATAGTATTTACTAAGATGATTTGTTCCAAATCTTTTTTTGTAGTATTGGTCTATAGTTAGTAAATATACAAGATTAAATTGATGTTAGTGATCTCATAAAGTATAAATGAAATGAGAGACTGGAATATTAAGCACAAGGAATCCAGTAAACTTGTAAAAAGATTTAAAGTACAATCAAAATCCCAATAAGAATTAATAATGGCCATGAAAAACCTGTTGATTTAAACAGTTAATAGACAAAGTAATCATTAATGCCAATTTTACAACATTAATCATTATTATCATTAATAGAAGTAATACACTTTATAAATATATCTACAATAACTTCTAAAAAATACTACACATAATACCGTGCCAGTCTAAATACACACAAACAACAAGCGAATGGTACACATGGGTAGTACGATGCAATGAATCAGTGGATTTAAACAAAGCATTTTAAATTCAGTGGGCACTAAATGACTTGTGCCTGACACCACTAACTGACTAAATTATGTGTGCAAATTAAAAAAAAAAAACTATGAGAAATTCAAGGGGTACTTACAGAAGTAAGTCTATGTCCATGCATTTGTCTGGGTGCTCGTCTCTACTAACATCTTGTACCCACCAGCTACGAAACTAATCAGGCTCACACTAAGCCTTTGGTCACCCCATGTGGGAGGTACCTGGGAAATGTTTTGGTATTTCAGCCAATCCCAGACCCCTCTGAGCCCATCGCTGACCCCATTGGATGGCGTGGTTCTTCTTTAATTAGACCAAAGCAAGGTGCAAATATCTATACAGGAGAACTAAATGTGTCTTGTGGTGTGATCTGTGACGTTGGCGGTGATCTCCTTTTCCTGATGATGTCTGAAAGTGGCAGCAAACAGGGCAGATTTAGGCTGCACCACTTTAGCTACTCAGGGAGATAATGACATCATAACTATGATTATGGCCTGGGTGTCACACAACAATGTACGTGACATGAGTCTACAGGTATAATTGGAACTAAATACTATAGAACAATTTTTTCTTATGAGGTACATTTTAATTGGCTTAGATGTGACTTGATAATTTAAATAATTAAAAAACAACCGCTGCCATAGTATTCAGTATTCAGGAAGTTATTCTTTTTGACCAGCCAAGCTTACATAGCACATTTTATACACAGACACATTTGCAGTGCTCCAAATAAAAGATGATAATAACTTTGTTTATTAGCTTATTAACTATAATCATATGACAGTAAACATAATTCATTTTAAGGCACAGTAGTGCTCTACTTGAACTCTTCAATTAAGATTAAGATTAAGATTCAACTCAGTTTCATTTATCCCAGTAAGAGCGATGATATGCAGCAGCTCTTCACCTCAGCACACACGAAATAGATGAGAGAAGAAAGGATAAAGAACACTAACAAAACTATGGGCTTAAACATTAGATATGGAGCCAGGAATTGATACCTTAATAAATATCTAAAAATACACAGTAATAAGGCCATGCAAAAGCACAGCAGCATAAAAAATTACTTATGAGGAACTGAGAAGATGGAAAACAGGATAAAGGACCAGAGGTATATCATAGTGATATTTTACTCTACCACTTATAGAGGATCAACAGGCTGTATTATGTAATGTTATTAATACAATAATTCACAACACATGTACTGTAGCATTAGCCACTAGATGGCCTTGTATTCACAGGATCTATTTTCACTGCCAGAGGCTGCTGTACATCATACAGTCTCTGTAAATAATATAATGCCTCCATGTTCTAGTCCTTGATAGGCTGGGATGAATTTCCACTTCATATAAATTTGAGTTTATTCATAGTCTATTCTGATGTTATTTATGTTTGTTTTGCCTCTATACGCATCTATCCACATTAATTTTAATTTCATGCAGTAATGTTTACGTAGGAGAATCTGTAGAAAACAGAGACTGGACTGAGGAGCAGAGCGTCTACATCTGTAATGCAATTATACCTAAGACAAATAAATGTCTAGTGACAGCAGTCAGAGAGCTGGAGCAGTGGTTTGTGTGCAGGCCTTATCTCATTATGTCATTAAACCAACGTCCAATCAGGCTCTGTCCTCATCTGCTGAGTAGACTCATCCCAGACTCTGACCACAGCCCTGTGTCAGCTGACACCGACACACGGATACAAAACATCCCCCACACATGAGGAAAAACAGCAGCAGCTGAGGACCACACCCCCATCTCCTCCTGTTCTCCACATTGCAAACATGTTTCAGCGAACCCCTGACTGCTAGTTTTGCAATCTCATTTTCAGTTTAGACTGCTTTAGAGTTAGATGAGAAGAAATAATCGATTCGTCTTCTCTTTGCTTTGAACACTCTTTAAAGGAATAGTTTGCTTCATTTGAGAAATTGGCTTGTTTACTTTCTTGCCAAGAGATACACAAGTAGAGCTACAGCAATCCATTAAACTGATTAGTTCATCAACAGAAAAATAATTAATTAATAGTTAAAGTATTTTCTTATGCAAAAATGGAAAAAAAGTATTTCCCTTTACAGACTCTTAAATATGAAGATTTCCTGCTTTTCTCCATTTTATATCATATTATACTGAATTTCTTTGGGTTTTACTGTTGGGCAAAACAAACAAGACATTTGAATACATCATTATGAGAACTGGGATGGACATTTTTCACTATTTTTTGATATTTTGAAGACTGAATGATTCATAGGTAATGACAGTAACCATTAGTTACATGAGAAGCTTGATACCATGCTAAATGTGAAGCTGTAGCCAGTTAGCTTAGCATAAAGACTGGAAACACGGGGGAAAACGTTAGACTGACTCTGTCTAAACTAAAGGTAACAAAAATCTGCCTTCGAGCATCTTTACAGTTCGCTTATTAAGATATTTTTGTTTGTTTGATCCTTAGACAGAGCCAGCCTAGCTATTTCCCTGTGCTCTCAGTCCTTATGCTAAGCTAGCCAGCTGTAGCTTCATATTCCTCATACAGACATGACAGTGGTATCTTATCTAATTCTATGCACGAGAGCAAAAGCATTTTTCCCAAAATGTTGAACTACTATTTCAAAGATCTAGTTCAAAACAAATTGAGGACAAAAATTTATTTCAGTCTTGTTGACAGCCACTGCACCCTTTCACTGACCCCACTGGCTGGTAACACAATGTACAGGGCATGCCTGGTGCGCTGTAATAAGGTTTCTGTCTCCAACTTCCCCATGTCTCCACAGAGCAGACAGCCTCTGCAGACTGAAGTCACTGACCCACGCCACTGCCTCACCAAACACATGCATTAGTAATGACAAGTCTTCATAGGTTGTGTCGACCCCTTTCACAATGCCAAGCTTGTGTCACTGACTTAGATGAGATCTGATTAGACGGCGAGAGGTCAGGATGTTTTGGGGTGAGCTGTGTTGAAACTGTACCATGTAGTGGAATACTCAGGGAAAAACTCCCTTTGTTGTTTTGTACATACGTCTACCATAGTGGAAGTTAAATCTCTTTCAGAAATGGATTTTTCTTTTCTGGTAAAAATAGGACAGGGGTTATTTAAGGTGACAGTTCATGTTGACATCAACCTAAGCAACAGAAAGAACAGTTTTGAAGTGGAAATGTTAGGTAAGCCACTGCAGATTGTCTCCTTCTCATGCGCCTTGCAAACAGAAAATCCTTGTTTGCATAAGTAGCTGAACAAACATTGAACTGGTTCTTTTCACCTGGATCACAAAATGTTAATGTGTTCTAATTAGCATGCACCCTTGACAAATAGTATTATAATGAGGAAATGTCAGTGTAAAAAGTGAATGAGAAGAATGAGTGACGTTTCAATAGCTGATTTAGTGTGTGTATGTGTGTGTTGCCTGCACCTGTTCATGCGACGGCTTCACTCCCAGGCCTGCAGGTCACTACAACAAGGCCAAGTCCACCCTGCTGCTGGAAACTAAAAATGGAAGTGCAGAGAAACTGATCTCCTTATGCTCGCCTTCCACAGCACTTCCATTTGAATAGGACAAATACATGTATTTGAACAACAGTGTATTTCCTCACTGTATATTCTCTAATTTCTCACTGCATCAGTAACAGTGAATTTGGCAAAAGTTGTCCAGAGAGGATGGTGGTGATGTTCCCCTCAATTCACAATAAGTCTGTCTTTTTCTGACTGACTATTGTGTTTAAGATGGACTCAGAAGAGAGGCCTCTGAGATTTTACAACTTTGACTCCTCTTCTTGCAGTAGTAGTAGTAGTAGTTGTTGTAGTAGTAGTAGTAGTATTAGTAGTAGTTGTTGTTGTAGTAGTAGTAGTAGTAGTAGTAGTAGTAGTAGCAGTAGCAGTGAGCAAAGTCACAGTGACCTGAAAGATTCCACATGTAGGGCTGCTGAAAATAACCTGGCCTACACTTTACTAATACAACCAGAAGAACAACAGGTCCTGCAATTAATTGTGTGGCCTCCACTGAGCCCTTATTTCTTTCTATTTATATGCACTTTGTATGAAGTTAATACATCAATACATTTTATTAGAAAACATTTTGAAAGCATCATCACTTTACTTTTAGTGCCCCAACCTTTTCCACAGTATGTGTTATATTTATAGCCTACTATGAGTATTTATTTCCAGAATAGCTACCAGCCCAAAATCTGTTCTTCCCGCCAATAATTGTCTTACTTTTCTGCATCCAGTGCTATTACTGGCCTGTTTGGGAGGTCTGCTTTACTTAACTTCTTTTATTTGATTAAGATTACGTGTTGATTCATTTCACAGATAGCCTACTTCTTTCAAAATTAACAAAGGCTCATAACTTCTTTTACTTTTAGAGCACCCACCCTCATTTCCGGTGTCGCTGTGTGTTTCTGCCTGACTTGACGCAGCTGTGTCACTGACAGCGCATCAACGGACTGACCGCACGAGCTGCGAGCAGCGGCAACAGAATGCCGACACGGAGCGGGCCGGACCTTCAACAGCCCGCGGTCAGACTCTACCGCTGGATGAACCCTCGGTGTGTTTCTCACACGGAGCAACAGTCATACTCAAACTTCTGGCAACACGTAACCTCCGAGTCACGCCTGTGCTGAGTTTTTGTAATGAACTGACTGGAGTGACAGGGCTGTACTTTCCCGTTTTCTACAACACTGACGGTGCAACAACAGAGCCGGGATCGCTGCGCGCGGGCGGACAGTAACGGTAGTTTCCACTGGATTTAAACGGGCCACACAGGCTCGTATCGCCACGTACGACGACGATATACCAGACAATAAAAGAGAGTCCATGGGCGTGAGAGGCTGCCTGTAGTGGAGCGGTGGCTTGGCCGAGTAGTGAAGTAGAATACAATGGGAAACCAGCAATGATCAACTTGGTGGAAAGTTGGGAGAGACGGCGCATCAAAGGGAGTAATTACTAAAAGTGATGTTTTGGAGACGCAGTACGGCGAGACAAGCTCACGTCAACCTCCTGTAGCGACGTCGGAACTGTTTCACGCAGCAGTTCAGCGTTCAAGTCAAACTTAATAATATCATGTGTGAAGTGGTTATGGAAGAGCAGGAGCGGGAGATCTCGGACATAGACCCGCAGGAGTACTCCTCGGTGGCGGAGAACGGGGTCATGCTGGTGGTCAATCACAGCCGGGCCCATGCTCCCTTCAGCGTCGTCCTGGCCACCGTGCTCTACTGCGCTGAGTTTGTCACCGCCGCCGTGCTCAGCAGCATGTACCACAAAACCGACGATGTCATCTGGATGGCCTTCACCATCGCCTTCATGCTGCTGCCCGCTGTGCTCATTCAGCTAGCGCTCACGTTCATTCACAGAGACCTGGGTCGGGACCGGCCTCTGGTCCTCTTCCTGCACCTGCTGCTGCTCGGCCCCGTCATCAGGTAGGTGGGGGTCAGGTGGTGCAACACAAAGGCATGGTCATGGTTTGCATGTCAAATGACCATTTACTACAGTGGCACTTTGCATTACTGATGGTGATTTTCCAGATTCTCCTTAGATATTTTAATGTATTTACCAGCAGTTTGTGGCTTTGATTTGCAGCAGAGGTGGAAGAAGCTCTCAGATCTCTTGCTTGAGTAAAAGTAGTAATACCACACTACTCAGACTGAATCCATGATGTTGAGATCAGGGCCCCTTGTTCTCCTTGTCTCTGAAGATAGTTCTTCATAACTCTGGCTGTGTGTGGGGGGGTAGTGGTCATGCTGCACAATGAATTTGGGACCATTACAACACCATTCTGTGCCTATAACGTTTTCAGACTGTTGTATATCACACAATTAGAGTACAGTTATTGATGCATTAATGTGCACATCCCTTTTAATGTTGCAGCTGGGGCTCATTTTGAGTACTATATGCACTGCTGGAGGTGCTTCAGTGGTTACCACCTCACAACAAAAAAGTTCTCAGTTTCGAAGTTTACATGTTCTCGCTGAGTCTGTTAGGTTAAATGGCAAGTCTAAATTGCCCATAGATAGATAAATGTAGTGAAGTCTCTCTATATGTTAGCCCTGTAATAGTCAGGCTACCTTTCCAGGGTGTACGCTTGCCCAGTGTCAGCTGGGATTGGCTCCAGCCCACCCGACACCCCTTAAAGAATAAGTGGTATCTAATGGATGGATGGTTGTATGGATGATGGATGCATAAATGTAGTGAGGTAAAAAGCACAATGTTTGCCTCTGAATTGTAGTGGAGTATAAGTAAAAATATAAAAAAAACTGAAATACTCAAGTCCAAGTACCTCAAAACTTAGTTAAGTATAGTACTTTAAATGTATTTACTTTCCAAAACTGTTCATTTGTAGTAAATGTCCTAAAACATGCAAAAACACAGTTACCAATTTATTTAGAAGCACAGAAGAATCATATCTTTCCAAACGGACTGATTTGAATTTTTGACATTTGTCCCTTTGTCCCTATAGATATTTACTATTCATGTACTGTATCTCATTCTCATTATTCTTATTGGACATGCAGGCTCCACTTTCACATTTACAGTGCAGAGAAGTTAATGGGAATTGGCATCTGCTTGAACAAATTGGCAGTCTGTGTTGCGTGCATAAAAGCACTACAGTGATCTCTGAGATCTAACGTGATGCTGCAATTTATGGATTAGAGCAGAGCGTCACCATTTAGATGATTCACCTATGAGCTGGCAACCATTTTGATAACTGCAGTCAATTTTCAAGCAAAAATTCCAAACCTTCAGTGGTTCCAGCTTCTCAGGTGTCATATTTGATGCTTCCCTGGGTCTTACATGATAGTAAACTGAATATCTTTGGGTTTGGGTTAGGATTTTAGGACATCACTTTGGGTCGTGGAAAAATATAATGAGAATTTTCACTATTTTCTGTTTTATTTGAGGCAAAGCAATTAACTGAGAATGGGATTGACAGATTGGTTGATAATCCAATCCTTATCTGTAGTCATGCATCTTATTGATTCATTCTTATTCTATCCCTCACGCAACTTTCATTTTCCGTTTACAGTGCAGTACAGTTACTGGGATACAGACTGAAAATCTCTGAGTGTTTAAAAGCACTACACTGACCTTTGAGAGCTAACATGGTGCTACAGTAGTTTGTCATTATGCTGTTGAGTTATTTTTTTTTCAAAAAGTAGGATGCTGACTAGAGTTGAAATAATTAATCGATTAGTGAATTAACAGAAAAAATAAATTATTATTATAAAAAACATTTGCTACTATTTGAAAATTAAGCCAAAATAGTAAAAAAAAAAAAAAAGAAAAGAAAAAGCCAAATTTTACCTGATTCCACTCTCTCAAATGAACATTTGGAGGTTTTTGACATTT